GAAACAAAGTGATCAAAGGAGAAACAAAGGGACATTAAGCTTGAACAAAGAGACATAGACCAGAGTGGAAAGTACCTAAATATTTTAGATGCCAATAGACTTATAGCAAACTAGATATAATATAGCCAATCAGCAGCTTAAGTTTCGTAATATGCATGAGCTAATTATGTACCACATATAAGCCTTCTGATTATTGCCAATAAACGAGTTCTCGATGAACCAATATGATAAGGTGGTCGAGTTCTTCCTTTTCCGACACATTAGAGGGCCATAAACCAGCAAATAAAAATCCCTTCTGCAGCTGTTGTCTTCCTCTCAGCTATGATCCCATTGTCTCCAACAAGGTTAAAAATCCCATTGATCTGGCACAGGATTTCATTTAATAAAAAAGCCAACCAACCAACCAACCAACCAACCAACCAGAACCACAAAACCCTCTCCTTGTTGATTTTAGGCCAAATCCAGACCATTTTACCTACAATTAATGTATTCTAACTCATAATTCAACTACTCTGAAAAATCTCAATTGAGGAGAATATGCAGAAGAATGGCTAATTTGGTAGAGTTTAGAGTGTCTTAGTTAAAACAGTAGTAAAAACATGCAAATAGATGATAAAGCACCTACTGGAAATCTTACTGTAAATTCCAAGTACATGAGAAGGATCTCTCTGTGCATTCAGAACCAGCTACTAGATTAGAAATAGGCATACCTTTAAAAATATAAAAGCAGGTTGGATTAATTAAATATACTGTAAGGGTTCTGTTTCTATAGCTCACCTACACTGGATTAAATAGCATCTTCGAGTGAGAAAGACATTACTGCTATGCAACAAGTATCCTGCCCCCAAAAATAAAAACCAGCACCCCATTAGATCTGCCCCTGAGGACACTGAGAGCATCTGTCAAAGAAGTAATGTTTATTTATTTTACAAGTCAGTTCATCAAAGGAATTTTTTTTCTCCTATCTGGTTATATTGTATAGCATAGATTAGATTTTGAGGTCAGATGTCAGGAAGCACAGGTTACATGTTATAGGAAAAATTCTGCAATTTTGGGTACTTCATAACATTAATTTACACACATAAGATACAGCTATGTGCATTTCCTTGTGCCTCCTTTGGCTCTTCACCAAACTTAGGAATACTGCTCTTTTTATTGGATGAGAGATATTAGACAGGAATTAATTACTCCCTGGCTCAAATTTTATCTCTAAAGCAGTCTTTTGTGCTTTTTGGGGCAAAAATTTGGCTTCACTATAACAGTGATCAATACAGCTAAAGAATGTATTCTTATCATCTTTACAGATAAAATGTATTGACATTTATTCACACGTGTTCTATTAATTGCATAGTGATTCCAAGATCTGTCAATATCAGACAAAGATACAAATGGTTTAAATAGAATTTAGATTTTTGTTTGCTCAGCAGGTGTGCTTGGTAGCTGTACAGGCAGCTAGTCTCCCAAAGTATTATGACTTTTGGTCTTTTTCCATAGCTGAGTTAACTTTTAAAATAACTTCAACATTTCAGGAATGATCCATGGGCTTGGACTACCTTTCTTTTCCATTTTATTTGGATAGTTTTATTATAGAGTTGGGGGTTTTTATATAGCTTTGCATACAGAAAGTGCCAGCTTGATTCCACATCCAGGATCAAAGCCAATTTCTGTCATTCTGTAATAGGAAGATGAAATTAAAAACAGCTTGCTCATCAGGATGCTTGAAACATCTCTATTTCACCTGTCTATTTTGTTTTAACACTTCTTTAACTTTCTATGTATTCTGAGCTATCAACTTTTTTTTTTCAAGGTCGTGTCCATAGAATTACATTTGATGAAGTGAAAAAGAAGAAAGACAAATTATTAAGATAAAAAAGCCTAGAATTTTGACATGCTTTTTTTCCGAAATATTTTTAGGGACTAAGCACTAGTGGAAAAGAACAGGAACATTGTACTTTAACATGAAACAAAAGGTATGTAGAGGTCTTCAATACTATTCAATATATATTGTCTTGTTGTTGCAGAATATGAAAATAAGGTATGTCTCTAATTTTCACAAGTTGTAAAGCATAATTATATTATATTTTTTCTAAGGTTGCACAACTCCTTTAAGTTATTGCAAGCTCCAGGAAGGCTTATATCAGCTACAGTCACATTGCTTTATACCTTTAGGAGAGCATTTTTCTGTGCTGAGTGTGCTGCAGAGAATTCTAGCTCTCCTAAGAAGGCACTATGAAATCCTAACCATAAAAAAAAGGACACTTAAAGTATTAAGAGAAGTATTAAAGTATTAAGAGAAACAGACAAATCATGGTGAGACCATAGAGAAAGAAGTAAACTTCAACTTAATTTTATCTGGTCTTTAGGAATGACTGAACTGCAATTATATCCCTTAGCTCAGGAAAAAGCTAAATAGAACCAAACCAAAACAAAAATAAACCCAACAAAATCAAAACCAACAAAAATCCCAAACCAAACCAAACCAACCAACCAACCAACCAAACAAACAAACAAAAAAGGCACAGGAAGTTGTAAGAAGGGGTATATGAGAAAGTAAATTGAGAGAAAATTAAATTAAGGTCTAAATTCTGAAGTTGTCTTGCAACTGATTTTTTCCCTACTGTCTAGAAAGGCACCACCTTGATGCCTGCTCAGACAAATCAGACCTTTTGCTTCCTGAATGCAATATCTAAGACTCACAGTATATGTGGGAGAAAATAAAAAAATATTAAAAATTACACCCAGTGGCAATGAGAACCAAAGTCAGAGAGCTCTTTTGCACAGAATACACCTGATCCTGCCCACCCTTGAACCTCACATGCCTTTTTCTTCATAAAGCTCTTCAGTGCCACTCATACTTTGCCACATTTCCATACCCAAGTCTGAACACACTCATGGTCTTTCTTACCGTATCTTCGCATTAGTTACTTTTGTTTTGCTTTGCTGTGGTTTGTAACATGGTAGCATGCCAGCTTTCCTTTTACATGGTCTAGAACCTTTTATAATTTAATTACACTAATATAATACTTACTCATCTGCTTCCTTTCTATCACTAGGCTTTCTTGCATTTTTTTAATTAAATTTTCCTGGTGATGACAGATGTAGACAAATTACTGCAGTTGTTCCACACATTTAAAAAATATGGCCACTTTTTACGTGTCTTTATATAAAATTATGCAGCTGGGTCCAGGCTTTAACACTTAGGATAGATGACGGCACTTGCTTCTCATCCAGGCGGATTTCAGCACTCTTTACTGACTCAGCAAGATACATACTTGTCTCTTTCCCCAAGCTGTCACCCAGAACAACCAGATCCATGTGAAGAGCAAATATGACAAGGTTTCAGTTGCAGTTTTTGCTGATCTACTCCAGGCCTTAGTTATCCAGTCACCATAGAAATAAATCAGGCAAACCTCACTAGTGTATGTTTTGAAATTGATGGTGTCAACTGTAATTAAATAAGATAAATTAAACTTTAATTCTTCACACTCCTTCATGTCATTCAGCAAGACAAAAGCAGTTGTCCTTTTTACATTAATCGATTGATCTCTAGGCTTGAAAATCATAACCGACAAGTTTATAAACATACTGAACACCCTACCATAAGCCCACAGACAATCGGGTCCCAGTATTAAGCACACTTCTGGGTGGCGAGGGAGAAGGAAACCATTGTCAAGGAGTTACACAGAGAAATAAACCCTTCTTCGCTCTTTTGGTAAACCTACCAGGATAAAGCCCCGCGGGGAGATGCTACGGATATCGGCCTGGGCGGGGCCCCCTGTTTTGGCACGGGGCGGCGGGGTGTGCTGTGCGGCAGGTGGGCCGGCCGGGCGGGAGGCGGGCGGGGGCCGGGCTCTCCCGTTGCCAGGTAAAGCGCAACGTCTCCGCCTCCCCGCGGTAGGCGCGCAGCCCCGCGGAGCGCACGCAGGCGGCTCGGCTTGCTCGGCTGAGCTCGACTCGACTCGGCCCGGCCCGGCTCCGCGGGGCGCCCAGACCCGCCACCTCCCGCCATGGCGCAGACTATCAAGAAGGGATGCTTCTGCCCGAGCTTCGTGAGGAGGAACTGGCTGCTGCTGAGCACGGTGGCTGCCGTGCTGGCGGGTGAGCGCGGGGGCCGGCAGGGAGCGCGGCGCCGCCGCCCCCCACCCGGCCTTGCCGGCACGACACGGCCTCGCCTGGCCGCGGAGCGGATCCCGCGGGGGGGCGAGGGGCGCTCGGCGGCCGCGGGGCCGGGCGGTGCAGGGCGATGCCAACGACCCACCCGAACGGCGGGCGGGGCGGGCCGGCCGCCCTTCCGCGGCACCGCCGTGGGCAGCGGCTCCGCAGCGGTGTCGCGGCGGCCGAGCGGGAGCGACGCTGGGCGCGGGGGGCGCGGCGCCCGCACCCGAGAGCGGCCGGGTCGGCAGCGGGCTCGGGGCCCTCCTGGCCGGGCGGCCGCTGTTCCGCCGGCCCGTGTGGCAAAGGTCGCTGATCGGCGGCGTGAAGCCGCGCCCTGGAGGACGGGCGCGGGGGCTGTGAGCCCGCGGCGCTGCGGGTACCCAGAGCGAGCTATGCCCCGGGCGGTGTCCGCAGCCCCTGGGGGGACCGCGGTGCCTGCCTTCCGTGAGTCTGCGGGGCAGCCTGGCCGAACGCGGCTGCACGGCCGGAGAGCACTGGTGTTGGCTTTGGAGAGCTTCGGATGGCCCGAGCGAGCTTTGCGACTGGAAGAGCTTGGTGATGCCACCCATTTTTCAAAGGCTTTTTTGGGGAGTTGAGGAGTTTGGCAGTGCTACCCATTTTTCAGAGGGGCTTCCAGGGTGAAAAGTGTCTCAATGCCACCTAACTTTCAGAGGGATTTTCAAGGGCTCCATTGTAAAGGTAGGAAGGTTTCTTCCCCCGCGTGTCAACAAGTTTTCGAAGGGGAAATGAGTTGAACACCTCAGGATAGGAGGGCAAAGAGGGCAAAAAGAATGCATCAAATTACTAGGACAAAGAGTCTTCCATAGGGCATAATTTTGGCTCTAGTCCCGCACGTTTTACTCCTTTCTTTCCTGGTGATTATTTGGAGAGCTTCCTTCACATTATTGCTCCTGCAGTGAAGTACTGCTTTAAATACTTCGTTAACTTGCTGTCTGATGGGTCTCCTTCAAATCACTTTTCTGCAAATTTGCATTTTGGCTGGAACGTACCTATTTCTGTGCAAATTAGTTCAGGAGAGAATTATTATTTTGGAATTCTACCCAGCTATTTATAAGCTGTGATCAGAGCTATGCTTACATATGTATGTGCTTTTTTTTCAATACATTCAGTATTTGAAATATATCCATTCTTTTTCACCTCTTTTATAAGTGGAAAGATTCTTATGAGCTCTGTATACCAAGTGCTAAGGACTTGCTTTGAAAATGTGACTGTAATACTGGAGGAGTATCTATATGTTTCTGTGTTTGTGTGTATACAGTTCCATTTTCACATACTCCCGTCAGATGTGTCCTTCTATGAGCTGACATACTTCCTTCCCAGTTACAGAAGTGGTTAGGAAAAATTCTCCTTGCATTATCTTCAGTGATTGTAGTTTGAACTGAAATGTGTGATGTGATTTTATAGGTGGATCATTCTGAAATTAAATTTCTTTGGGAGCCACAAAGTCTTACAGTACAGGAACTGTGGGGACAATAATGACCCCAATCCCAAGCACACAGATACCTCCTGTGTCCTTGGTCTTCTCTATCTGCTTCACTGTAATTAACAGTCCAGAACTCAGGGGAGCTCTCAAATATTGGCAAGAGAGTTTTTTTAAGAATTCCATGAGCTTTGAATTACATTTTACATGTAGCTATCTGTCTGATGCATTTTCAGTATTTCTTTGAGGTGAAGGTACACAAGAACAGTGAAACCATTGTAAAAATGGAGTTGAATCATATGTTATTGTTTTACTAAAGCTCGAGGAAAGTTTTTAGTATACCTAGAGTCCCCAAACCCTTCATAATTAAATTTGCTTATTCATTTTTATGTACACTTGGAAATTGTACTGAGGGTTATTAATCTAGTTAGTTTGGAGGAGCAATCTAGCATTTGTGAGCAGAAGAGTAGCGCATGATTTTGAAAGAAGTACGTACCTTTAGGCTTTTCAGAAAAGTATGATGAATGAGGAGTGGAAATAACAAATTCAGCAAGCTGTGAAAATATGCTGTGTAAGCTGTCCAGATGTGCTGGAAAGTATCTGATATCCCTCCACTATCGTAAGGAATCATGATTTTTGCTCATCATTATCAAGCCATGTTCATCATCTAATTGAAATATGTTTACCCTTACTAAGCTCAAAAGTTTACCCCTATTACTTATTGTGTGCATCTCTGACAAGAGACAGAAACAGGAAGAAAAACCCCTGCTGCAAGAGTAATGATTCTGTGTTATCTTTTAAGCTTTCAACCCATTGCCTGTGGTTTATTATCATGGTTTGGAGTTTCTGGATCACATCAGACCAGCAGGGGTTCACAGCTGAGCTGCAGTTTCTCTCATTGTGCCCGGTGGTGTATCGGCCGAACTGAGAGGTCAAATCACACAGAGACACCAGCTGTGGGTGCTAAGGCTGATCTAACTTTATTTTACAAAATGGAGGGGTTTTATATGCAGATAAGGTTCTGGGAAAAGAGGGTAGGTATATATAAATTTGGACAGGGCATTGGTTAGGATTTAAGATTGATATACTTAATAGAGGGAATACATGCGTCTTTAGATAACTACTAAGTTCTTAATTGGGAAAACTAACTGCCTCTAACTGGACTTGGGCCAATTAGAGAAACCTCCTCTCCCCCAGCAAGAGAGAGTGAGCTCACAATCTAACAAACAGTCTGTCTGATGCTGTTTGGCCTGTGTTGCCAGAATTCATTTCTTTCCACCTTCTAAACTCCTCGTCCTCATCTAGGTTACCCACAACAGTTTATGTTTTCAAAAACATTGGAATTTATAGCGGGGGGGGGGGGGGGGGAGGGGATAATTTAAGATTTATACACAAGGCATCTTGAGTGTCACATTTTTTTGGTGAAAACACCTGAATGCATTTTTCAAAGAAAACAAAACTCAAGGCTCAAGAGATTATTTTTCTTACATTAGCAGACATTCTGTTTCAGACCACCAAACTGATGTGGAGAGATCTGTGACTATGAGAGTAGTAGCCTCACACAGATACCTGCAAAAGCAGACATATCTTGCATCTTTTTATTCTGATGGCCTTACTGAGCCCAAAGTAGCTGAGCTGATGAAAGCAGTTTAAAAGTCAACCTGCTTCAAGTGCTTCTTCAGCCTTTCATATAGAAAGTTACATTGCTTCCAGTTTCTACAATCAAGTCAAAATAAACCAGAAATGTCCCTGAAATTTATTCACCCTGAAACTCATGTTCAAAGGGCAATTGGATATAGAGAGTTTAAGTCACACTTCACAGGATTCTCATGGAGCATCTATTTTTTGTCATTGCTTTGTCTCCAAGAGGTCACTGCTGCAATACAGCCAAACCAGTCGTGAAAGTAAAAGGCTAATTATGTATAAATACTTGCTCTTTCATTATTCTCTGTGTCATAGCCTAATAGCTCATAATGCTGGGCAGTTCTTCAGCAGAACAACGTTTTTCTTGCAGTGGAAACTAAAGTGTAGGTGATTTCCCTACATATGATCTGAGGCACTGAGTTACAGTAGCACGCTGTCCTAGAGTAGAGATCTTTTAACGTTCTCAGAAATTATATACAAAAAAGTTACAATTTCTTTTTAATACTTATTTTGAAATTTATTAGACCATTATCTCTTTTTTTTGTAGTAGTTCTGTGGTAGGGGAACATGAGTCTGAGGGATTCAGTTTGCCTAAATATACAGATTAGTTCCCTCCCCCCACCCGAGTGTCTGAAGTGGGCTTTCTTCTACAGCACATGTGCACTGAAATTCTTCAGGTAGTCACGAGGAAGATACGAGAAATGCAATATTTAGATAGATACAGCCAGCAGTCACAGGAGACTGTGGATTGCAGGCATCCTTTCTTCAGCCTGCCATAGATCATGTTCTTCAGAGGTATTTCAGTGCGAGGCAGTGATGACCACTTTTGTCCTCTGCCATTAGCTTTCTCCTCTATTCTCTTCTTCACATTTGGACGTATTGTTCATGCTGTTCACCTCAGGAAGGGACCCTGGGTGCCACGGCCATGCAGGCGGGAGCCGGGCGGTGCGGCGCAGGGGCGGCGGGAGCTGTCCGAGGTGGCTCGGAGGCAGCCCGCGGACCGGGAAGACGGAGAACTGGCAAAACGCGGAGCTGCAGCAAGCGGGGGTGTGAGGCAGAAGTGAAGTGACTGAGAAAGGGTGAGGGTCAGGTATTCAGGCTGGAGCATGCCTGAATACTAGATTTTTTCCACTTCTGAAATGAAGTTTATTCAGTGTCTGCAGCATCAGACGCTTTGGTTGTGCAGTTCCCTTATTGAAAGATTGAGGCTGGCATCAGACCTCCTTCTCTCCTCTCATTTGAGAGTGAGATTAAAATATGCATAGTTCCTGTTGTACCACCAGCATTGGAGAAACTTTGAGTGTTGTGACTATAGTTTTTTGTCAGGATTTGATGAGTGCAGCAGCCACTGGATCTTCTGGTTTGTGCTTTATGGTGGCACCCTAGCAGTACATATGCCAAAAATTTATTCTCTTTATTGTTAATGAAAATTATTTTATAATATTAAGTAACAATATCTCCCTATAGGTGTTTTGGTTTGGTTTGTGTTTTTTTGTTCCCAGATAAGTCAGGTGTATTCACACTTGCTAATTGAAAGGCTGTGCTCCCTCTGTAATCAGACACAAGAAGATTTGACAGCTGCTTTTAAAAACAGTAGTTCTGCATTACCTGGAAGCCTACCAGTACATTCTTACAAGAATGAATGTCTCACAAGATGAAGACAAGAACAGATCAATTAGTAACTTATCACTGTGTTGATGATAGCCTTTCACTATGGAAAGGCCACTCTGAATCCAGGGAGTTCACCGTACACCTGAGTTTCTTTTGTGGCCTGCAACCCCTAAACCCAGTAAACCTGTAAAGTCTTTCTGTTTTTTCATGATAAGTTGCTTCTGTCTCTGGAAAATTTAATTTAAAA